GGACGAAATAATAGTGAACACTCCATATACTATCTAGAATTTCTATTGGTTTCACCTAAGATTGATGCTCTTGTACTCTACAAACATCTCCAGGATATTTGTCGGGTTTGTTGAATTTAAGGATACCATGGAACATAATTTATACAATACGTAACATGGTAATATTAGTTTTGCTTAGATTTAAGATTGAATGCATCACAGGCGAGAGTGTTTATTAAAAAACAAATAAAAGCAATTTTCATGGCCAAATAATTTTTTGTTTGGTGCTAGAAAAATATTTTTGCAGCAATAAATTTATAAGACATGACTAATATGTACCTTGATATACATGTGCATGTATATATATATTGTTATTTTTATTAATTATGCTTATAAATAAATATAGTCTGTCCAATGGTGTATGGAAAAAAAATCACAGCTCCATTCAAAAGATGAGTTATGATTAAGTATAATTGCTTAGTATAAAGTAGGTAAAATGCATATGCGTTGCAACGGAGAAAACAATGGCCATACTTGGTGGTTGTGGACAATTTTTATCTTCCATTTTCTAATGATGTGGCGGTTTCTAACGACAATGGGAAAGGAAAGGTGAATGCTTTTAAAAGTGCGACGTGTGGGGTGGCATCCTCCCCCTACTGATTACATCAAGATCAACAGTTTAGGTGAAGTCATCGTGGAAGATTGTTGCTACGAATTTCTCTGATGAAGTTATTCTCTTATCATGGGATTTTATAGGGCAATGTTCTTGTGTGAATGCACCTGAGCTTGGGGGTGTGCCTAACTGATCTCTACACTGGTATGACTCTTCACATGCTTATTCATTTAGAGACTGGTTGTGCTTTTGTGGGTACCAAATTGTGTTTTATTTGTAATGAGAAGGTCAATGGTCCCTTCCACCTTCCTATTTTAAAACCGGAGAATGAATGATTGTAAATAATATGCTAGATGGAATCACATATATTTTTATTTTTATTTTATATAATATTACAAGACTTGAACTAAGGATAATATAAGCAAGCCATCCATGTGGTCGACTCCTTTACCCTACATTTTGATATATATTTTTGTGAGCACATGGTGTTTTTTTAGCAAAAGAAAAGCCGCCCCTCCAATTTCATATAGTGAAACCATTTTGTCTTCTTACATCATTCATCACCTAACAGCGAAGCTAAAGAAAGGAGAAAACAACTAAACAAAGCACTGCCAAGTTGTATTACATACCTAGCTAGAAGGCCCAAGATAATCCAGTGAAAAGCAACTACTGTGAAGAAACCAGAAACCAAAAGAAATACTTTCACCAGGGGAGTGTGAAGAAACCAGAACCAAAAGAAAGACTTCCACCAGGGGAGTGTGAAGAAACTAGAAACCAAAAGAAAGACTTCCACCAGGGGAGTGTGAAGAAACCGGAACCAAAAGAAAGACTTCCACCAGGGGAGTGTGAAGAAACCAGAAACCATAAGAAAGACTTCCACCAGGGGGTGT